TTGATGCTGAGCTAGATTCTGTGCAAAGCTGTAGTGTGGAATGAACAGGGCTGTGATGGTTGTCATACTTGGATTTGGAAGTAGGGTGAACTGCCAGGTGCTGGTGTAAAGCTTCTCCTCAGTGTTTGTTGGCAAACCAGCACCTGTGTACTCTTCAAGATCAGAATCTAGGCCTCTGCAGCTGTGCTGTTTGTCTCAGAAGTTCTCCCAGCAACCAATGGGTTTTTTTCCTCCCTTTTTGCTGTTATTCAGTCTCTTAGTCATGTCTGAGTTTTCACAACCCCAAGGACTGTAGCACACTAGGCTTCACCATCTCCCAGAGATTGCTCCAATTCATGTCCATTCAGTTGGTGATGTTATCCAACCAGCTCATCCTCTGTCGTCCCCTTCTCTTCCTACAGGACCCTAGGACTGGGGCACCCATTGTATGACTCAACTCCTTTGTTCCCTAGGCGGGAGGATCCACCTGTATGGATCTTCTCTAATTTTTTTTTTTTTTTAAGATCTCTCTCAGAGACAAAGGTGTCAATCTTATGTTTTTTTTTCCAGCCTACCATTGGTGTGGAAATTATTCTTGAAGCTATATTTGTATAGGAGTTCTACCAGTCTCCCTTCAGTTTTCTGTGAAAACTGTTCCATATGAAGATGTAATTTTGATGTGTTTGTGGGGAGAGTTGAGCTCCATGCCCTCCTACTCCACCATCTTGACCTGATCCTATACCATATATCTAATGCTGACATATATAATTTTTCCATATTTAACACAGTATTATTATTATATTTATATTTGATAAATGTTACAGTAAAATATAATAATGTGAAGACCAAAATCCTTCTTGAAAATTTTCTATGCGTTTAATGAAACTAGTTAATGCAAATTATATTTCACTAGCTATTTAGTGCTTTAGAATGTTAATGTAGTCAGACTTCAGTAACCCTTGAAGTAAGTGACACCATTACTATAACTGTATTAGTTTATCTGATGGAACAGCTGAGATATAGGGAGGTTATATAACTCGCCCAACTCCACACAAATCTGCAATAAATTTTCAGTGATTTAAATCTATGCTATCTGCATTCAGAGTGTAATCATTATGGTGTGTTGGCTCCCCTTTCTTGTCACAGTTACTTTCAAAATGTGACACTGATAGTTTCCCAGTTTTAAGCTAAATTTTAGTTATAATATTATAACACAAGTATAATTATTGTTCCTGTTATGTATTAGGCTTAGAACAATACTCATTTTATTTTTATCTCTCATAGTTCCGGGTGCTGTGTGGGCTCAGCTGGGTGATTCTCCTACATGTTTTCTTAGATGGCTTCAGTCTTATGGTGACTGGGGTTGTAATAATCTGAAAGTACTTAGTGATTGGTCTGTGAAAACTCAAACTATTGGGGGGCTGAAACTACTGGAACTTCTTAGACATATCTATGTATCTCTTCACAAATGATCATTTATAATGCAAAAATTTAGTATGGTACAGAGTTCCACTGTGAGCAGAGAGAGAGGGAAAGAGAGAGACAGAAATAGAGAGCCAGCATGCGTTGCATGTCGTAATTGAGCTTTGGCAGTTAAACGGTAACATTTGAGAGAAGCAGCAAAACATACTAAAGTTCAAGAGAGAAGAAATTAGTTGATGGAAGGGATGCCAAAGTATTCGAAGTCATGTCAAAAATACTGCAAATGCAAATATTCGAAATGAGTCAGCAGAAGTCCCTACTGTAGTAAAATTAAATATTGACATTAAAACCACAGTAGTCATTAAATAAATTTTTGTGAATTATGATTTGTGAAACTTTTGAAATTATAAACATATATTGTCATCAGTTCAGTTCAGTCACTCAGTCATGTCCGACTCTTTGCGACCCCATGAACCACAGCACGCCAGGCTTCCCTGTCTATCACCAACTCCTGGAGTCCACCCAAATCCATGTCCATTGAGTCGGTGATGCCATCCAACCATGTCATCCTCTGTCGTCCCCTTCTCCTCCTGCATATTTTCATTTTTTTTATTTAAAATATCTAAACATGAAGTTGGTATTTTAAAAAATGTCCCTAGATTGGTGTATTGAATAGTATGACAGATTACCAGTTAATTCAAGTGTTCTGAAAGAAACTAATACATTGGTAATATGATATGAAAATCTTAGAACTTATTTTCTTGAATCAATGTTTATTTCACTAGTTATTTAAAACCACATAATAAATGAAAACATTATTGTGAAAGAGCAAATAATGAAGAAATTAGAATAAAAATGTAAATGCTCTTCAATGGAAGTTCAGTGTATTCTTTGAGGTAATTTCCTCTGTGGTATACACATTGGCATACATTTAATTTTATTTCCAATGTTATGCTTATTTTTTATAATTTCTGGAACTTATTCTTTATTTTGCAATGTGACATGGAAAGTACTCAACAATGTTGCCCATAATCTATCAGCTCTATCTCATGGCTATATAACCCATACCTATATTGCAAATAAGTGTGTTCACCAACTGATAGCCATTTAAGTGCTAGTGGGAATATTCAAAATATAATTAAGAACATGTATAAGTCTTTATCCTTGACAGATAACCAGATGTAGATAGACATCAACAATATATTTAATTGTACTTTAAAGATGTTTCCATATTATACTCCCTCAAAACTAGGTTCTACCAGATTATTCTTTCTGCAAATCATCTGTTGGAAAATAATTTATTGACTCAGTTTTCATTTCCTCAAGCACAAATGAACTTTGTCACATTCTATGTATCACTGACCATTTCATTTCTGTGAATTTCCTACTCATCTTCATCTATTTCCATGTTGGGTTATTGACTTTTTCTTGGAGATTTGTAGAAGTTCTCACTATAATAGCCACCAATTCTTTTTCTGTTTAAAGAAAGTGATGTTTATATTGTTTTTCATCATGACAAAAGAGTGAAAGTTTATATATAAGTCTTATGAGAGGGATGGGGCAATATGCTCTGAGATAAGGGATCAAAAAATGAGAAATGCTGATCTAAAGTGTGATTATATAGAATAATAGTCATTATTTCAATTAGTGTTTAACATGTTGAATTTCACACCATATCTGCAAGTAGCTAAGTGATGCTGTGTCTTGTTTTGGAAGAATATGTACATATATATATATATATATATATATATACAAATATATATATATTTGTGTGTATGTGTGTGTGTGTAGATAGATAGACATGCATGTAGATATAGATATAGGGGCTTCCCTGGTGGCCTAGGCAGTCAAAACCCCACCTGCAATGTGGAAGACCTGGGTTTGATCACTGGGCTGGGAAGATCCCCTGGAGGAGGGAATGGCAACCCACTCCAGTATTCTTGCCAGGAGAATCCCCACTGACAGAGTAGCCTGGTGGACTACAGTCCATGGGGTTGCAAACAGTTGGACATGACTGAGTGACTAAACACAACATAGCACATATAGACACATGCAGGGACATTTGGAAAAAATGAACATTTCATAAGTCCCTTTAGAGTATAGGTTATATACATATATTTGATATGCAACTGAGACCTTATACACCTGATCAAGGGCTGAATGTGGTAATGAAAGCAACCAGGTAACTTTTTTTCTTTTTAAACTTTTTACTTTATATTGGGTTATAAATGATTAAGAATGTTGTAATAGTTTTAGGTGACCAGTGAAGGGATTCAGTCATACATACATACACATGTATTCATTTTCCCCTCAAGTACCCCTACTATCCAGGCTGCCACATAACATTAAGCAGAGTTCCATATGCTATACAGTAAGTCCTTCTTGGTTATCCATTTTAATACAGTAGTGTATACATGTCAGGCTCAAACTCCCTAACTATACCTCCCCCTTATCTGTCCCCTTGACAATCATAAGTTCATCTTCTAAGTCTGTGAATATGTTTCTGTTTGGCAAGTTCATTTGTAACGTTTCTTTTAAGATTCCACGTATAACTGATGCCATACAATATTTTTTCTTCTCTGACTTATTTAACTGAGTATGACAGTCTCTAGGTTCATCCATGTTGCTGTAAATGGTATTATTTTGTTCTTTTTAATGGCTGAGTAATATTTCATTGTATATATGTGCCTTATCTTTATCCATTCCTCTTTCAATGGGCCTTTAATTTGCTTCCATGTCTCAGCTATTGTAAACAGTGCTACAATGACAGTGCATGGATCCTTTTGGATCATGTTTTACTCTGGAAACATGCTAAGGAGTAGATTGCAGGGTCATATGGTAGCTCTAATTTAGGTTTTTAAGGAAACTTCATATTATTCTCCATAGTGGTTGTACCAATTTAATTTCCCCACAAGGTGACTAATTTTAAAGATGATGAAAATAGAGATGCTCATGAAATCAAAGATTTTCATAAATATCTCAATTTTATAATATGAAGCAGATAGCAGTTGCTATATTCCTAATTCCACAAATATTGCACTGTTAAACGAGTTAAACTGGATGAAGGCAAATGACTTGCCATGGCTTTAGATTTAAAAATGATGCTAAGGCTGAATGGATAGTAAAAACCAAATGTTAGTGGTCTCACAAATGAAATGAAGGGATGCATCTTTTGATACAATTCCAATTATTGAATAGTTTCTATAGCAAGATAAAGCTATAGAATTCTACACCAAAACCGAGTAAAAATTCGGAATATATACAAAATAATATGGATACTATAAATAGACTTATTACTGTTCTTGTAGCTATGCATAACCTGTGAAACACAGTTAAATTCAATGATTTCAGTATAGCTTTTGAATTAAAATAATAAATTTCAGTATATACCCATATACCTTTATTCTCACTGAACTTTTCACCAGTTTTATTTTTGGCATGACTTATTTCTAATTTGTAAACAGGTATAAAATCACTTGAAAATAATTTTGATCTGAGATGCTAAATTGTGAATTGTTTTGCCACAGGGGAAGCTCATCATAACTCTTCTGTGCTGGAATAAACTGGAGGAGTTCCACCTAGGGGCATAACGCCTTCAGCTACTCCCTCTTTTGCTTCTTTCCTGTTTTAGCAAACTTGCGGTAACAAAAGAGAAAGCATTCTGTGATGACAAATACAACAATTGCCACACAGGCCAGCAGAAACCCAATCACATCCAGAGAATGGTACTGGAACCAGGTGAGGTCGTGGGCGGCTGGCCTCAGGTGTTTGGCTCCTTTGTGGCGCATGACAAACTCGATCCAGAAGACCGCTCGGTCCAGGGGCTTTATAGGCTGATCATGGTGAATGGTGGACAACCACACAGCCTTCTCTTTGTAGCTAAAGGAAAAGCAAAGAAACATCGATTTATAAAATGAGCTAGCTTGTGGGGCAACTATTGTATTTGTTATCACCAAATGTAGTGAAACAAATATACTCACGAAGGATTGTTAATGACTTCCTTCAATGCATTGAGCAAATCTCTTGATGACATTGTTTGCAAGTCCACTCTGACAGCTGCTCCCTTGGCCTTCACCCGCTCAATGTTATCAGGTTGATCAGCAAACAAAGGAAGGCCCACCATAGGGATCCCATGGTAGATGGCCTCATAAATGCCATTGGTTCCACCATGAGTTATAAAGGCTTTGGTTTTTGGATGACCTGGAATTGAGTGAATTTCAGTAAAATTGTTAATTAAAAGTCTTAAAAATAAAACGAGAACTGAGCATTATAAAGCAACTGAAGTAAGCAGTGTCTTTGAGATAACATACGAAAATGTATTTAAATTGCTTCAGAACTCAGAATAAGAAATCCCTAAATCTGATGAAGAGGTAAGTGAAGACTTTATAAAGACCTATGTCACTTGAACTTCACAAATGAATCCAAGATTGGTGAAAAACCTGAAAGGGCATTCTGGGTAAAAACAACATTTTTGCATCAAAAAAAGGAGGGCATGTCAGAAATATAATCTCTAAAACAATAATGAAGCCATTTAGCCTGATAGGAAGTGTGTCAAGGCAACAAGGGTAAATGGTAGTGGCAGTGTAACCAGAGGAAGGAAAAGCCACAATTTATCTTGAAATGTGTGACCACTTGATGTAAAAGCTACCAATGCTTTCTGATAGAAAATGTAGAGCCACAGGTAATAAAAAGAGGAACTCTTATTTTTAAGTATCATTTAAAATATCCCTAAGGCATGCTCAAAATTCTCCAAGTCAGGCTTCAATAATACGTGAACCACGAACTTCCAAATGTTCAAGTTGGTTTTAGAAAAGGCAGAGAAACCAGAGATCAAATTGCCAACATCCAACATCCACTGGATCATCGAAAAAGCAAGAGAGTTCCAGAAAAACATATATTTCTGCTTTATTGACTATGCCAAAGCCTTTGACTATGTGGATCACAACAAACTGTGGAAAATTCTGAAAGAGATGGGAATACCAGACCACCTGACCTGCCTCTTGGAAAACTTGTATGCAGGTTGGGAAGCAACAGTTAGAACTCAAAATGGAACAACAGACTGGTTCCAAATAGGAAAAGGAATACATCAAGGCTGTATATTGTCACCCTGCTTATTTAACTTATATGCAGAGTACATCATGAGAAAGCCTGGACTCGATGAAGCACAAGCTGGAATCAAGATTGCTGGGAGATATATCAATAACCTCAGATATGCAGATGATACCACGCTTATGGCAGAAAGTGAAGAGGAACTAAAAAGCCTATTGATGAAAGTGAAAGATGAGAGTGAAAAAGTTGGCTTGAAGCTCATCATTCAGAAAACTAAGATCATGGCATCCAGTCCTGTTACTTCATGGGAAATAGATGAGTGGAGACAGTGTCAGACTTTATTTTTCTGGGCTCCAAAATCACAGCAGATGGTGATTGCAGCCATGAAATTAAAAGACTCTTACTCCTTGCAAGGAAAGTTATGACCGACCTAGGTAGCAGATTAAAAAGCTGAGACATTATTTTGCCAACAAAGGTCCACCTAGTCAAAGCTATGGTTTTTCCAGTAGTCATGTAAGGATGTGAGAGTTGGACTATAAAAAAACCTGAGCGCCAAAGAATTGATGCTTTTGAACTGTGGTGTTGGAGAAGACTCTTGAGTGTCACTTGGACTACAAGGAGATCCAACCAGTCCATCCTAAAGGAGATCAGTCCTGAATATTCGTTGGAAGGACTGTTGTTGAAGCTGAGACTACAATACTTTGGCTACCTGATGCGAAGAGCTGACTCATTTGAAAAGACCCTGATGCTGGGAAAGATTGAGGGCACGAGGAGAAGGGGATGACAGAGGATGAGATGGTTGGATGGCATCAGTGACTCAATGAACATGAGTTTGGGTAAACTCTGGGAGTTGATGATGGACAGGGAGGCCTGGCGTGCTGCGGTTCATGGGGCTGCAAAGTGTCGGACACGAGTGAGTGACTGAACTGAACTGAACTGAGAGAGTGGAAAAGATAGGTGTAAGGAGAGAATTCAGAGACAGAACAATGCACAAAGTTACTTAAAATTTCACAGTGAAAAGTAACTATAGCTAAAGTAAATATATTTTGATTTTGGATGTGAAGGAAGTGACCATGTATAACACAATGCTGTTAAATTTTCTCCTCCCCCCCCACCCCGGGGCTGGAAATAGCAATGAAGGAGTGAAGTTTTCTTACTTACACTTAAAGGAGTGTTCAATAATAAATGTTGGATAAGTTTGTTTCCTATTGAAGTAGTATCACTCTGCTCAGCTGTTACTCATGTTTTCAGTATTTTTCTGCCAAGTCTTACCAAGAAGGTCGTTCTGGGGGATCCACTTATACAGGCGGGTATTGGGCCCTAGGGTATCTGGTTTCTTGCCATCATATCTCCATAGAACCTGTTAAGGTAAAGGAAATACCTTATTCCATGATTTAAACTTCAAAGTCATAGTGTTAAAATTTTAAGCAAATAAAATTTAAATGTCTCTGTATAACAGATAAATAAATCAGAGCATAAGGTCTTAATTTATAATAACTAATAATATATACTTAATAGCAACACCCACATTTGATGTACTCATTTTTAGGTTCAATCTGAGATGGAAGGCAATCATGACATCTCACATATGATGACATAGAAAAATAAGTTGTCAATGACAAATTCAAATATTTAAGAAATTTTTAGCTGATCTTATTTCTAGTGCAGAAAGAGTGTGGCAAATTACTAATAAACCACATATTTTTGTTTTAGTTTGTATTCTAAATCTCATTTTCAAATTTATTCACCAATTTCTTTTTAACTGTTATAGAAGTGTTTACTTATGGCCACATGTTAATACAACTTATTTTATTAGAATTTTACAATTTTTGATTACAAAGAAGAAAATGCACAGAATTTGCAAATTAAGAAAAATGCTCTGCTTATTTATAGTTTATTAATGAGTTAATTAGGGCTGTCTAGGAAATATAACTTCATTCAGATTACAAATTGTTAAACATTACTTCCAAGAACAATGACAACTGGAATTTTTTTTTTACATAAATCCAGATTATTGGAGAAGGAAATGGCAACTGACTACAATAATCCCACTTGGAGTATCCCATGGAGAGAAGCAAGGCAGGCTACAGTCCATGGGATCATAAGAGTCGGACATGATATTAACTATACCACCACCACCAGATTATTACCACTATTATCATATTAGGCTTGGAAATGTTTTACCTTTAGAAAAAAAAGAGTTGGTTTGTAATTTGTAAGGGACAGCAAGGCTATTGAAAAAGTTTCAAAATTGTGTCACTAAAGTTATTCAACTGACCCTGAATGCTTCAACAACGAAGCAGAAAGCACCGACAGCATTGATTAATATGGTCTCTAGGTGTCGTAGCAAAGTAAGGACCAGTTTTGTAATTCCAAACAATTCTCATAAACTAGATTATAATTTAGTAGTGTTTAACTTCTATTTGCTCTGTGAATGTAAAGTAACTTAGTTTTTCACCAAAAATTAGCATAAAAAATTATGAGAAGCCAACCTTTCTCTGAATAGCAACCTAGAAAGCACACTGATTAGGTCTGTTCCAAAACTGAGGGGATGTAAAAGGGACCAGGAATTCCTGGCAAGTACAAACTGCAAGAAGCACTCCAGACTTTCATCAATATTGCTTAACATTATTGAGAGGCTACATATACCATGAAGATTCAACTCCTGAGAACATCTGTGTGTCCAGGAGTCCTTTGGGAAAATGGGCAAATGACAAGACAGAATTTGGTGATTTCTTTTCCTGTCCACACTACCATTACAATACCAAAATTCACACTACATCTCTTAAATATTTTTCTTTGTGATTACAGTGTTAATTCAAATTTAATGTCAGTTGAAGACATTCTATGTACTGTTCTACCATCTACCATATATATATATATAATCTGAGAAAATTTGGAGATATCTTAACAGTTTGTCCTTCTTGCATAATATATCTGTAATTAGGCTTTTTACAGAATTTAATAGTTTCCTTAAGTACTTATTCACTATTAAGTTACTTTACATACTTTTTGTGGAATCTGAGCAAGGGTTGATGCAATTACATTGACTTTTTCTTCTGTTATGTTACTGATCATTGACCCCAAAGTAAACACCACAATACCATTTTCTCCAGAGCTCTGAACAAACTCTTCCATTTCCTGTGAAAAAGAATTTACTTTATCACAAATGAGCAACAACAACATAGCAAACAATATTGAAAAGTTTACAAAAAAAAAAAAAAACTAAAGAGACAAAATCAGATATAGTCTAGAAATTATTAGTCACTGTTTTTTTTTTAATATCATGGTAAAATGAATACAAGATAAAATTTTACCATCTTAATCATTCCTATGTGTATGGTTTGATAATATTAATTATATTCACATTGTGCACCAATCTCCAGAACTTTTTCATCTGACAAAAATGGAAGTCTGCACCCATTAAGAAACTCCATTTTCATCTTTCCTCAGTCCCTGGCAATCATTATTCTACTCTATGTTTGCACAGATTAGATTAGTCTAGATACTTCTTTCAAGTTGAATTGTACAATCTGTCTTTGCACCTCTGGCTTAATTCACTTAGCATAAGATTCATTCATGTTGTGGCATGTGTCAAAATTTTCCTTTAAAGACTGAGTAATACTCCATCTTTTTGTATCTACAACATTTTTTTTATTCTGTTTATAGACATTCAATTGCTTCAACCTCTTGGCTCTTATGAATAGTGCTTTTATGGATATGGTGTGAAAATATCTCATTGGGATCCTCATTTCAATTCTTTTTAGTATAAAACTAGAAGAGGAGTTGCTAAATCATACGTATTGGTGCTAGGTTTCAACAGCACGTGAACTGAGAACTCCTAGGTATACAGCCTGGATTAGAAAAGGCAGAGGAACCAGAGATCAAATTGCCAACATCCGTTGGATCACAGGAAAAGCAAGGGAATTCCAGTGAAACATCTACTTCTGCTTATTGATCATGCTAAAGCCTTTGACTGTGTGGATGACAACATACTGTGGAAAAATTTTAAAGAGATGGGGATACTGCCTCACCTGCATCCTGAGAAATCTGTATGCAGGACAAGAAGCAACACTTAGAACTGGGCATGGAACAACAAACTAGTTCAAAATTGGGAAAAGACTAACTCAAGGTTGTATCTAGTCACTCTGCCTATTTAAGTAATAGACAGAGTATATCATGCAAAATGCCAGGCTGGATGAAACATAAGCTGGAATCAAGATTGTTGGGAGAAATATCAACAACCTCAGATATGCAGATGACACCACCCTAATGGCAGAAAGTGAAGAGGAGCTAAAAAGCCTCTTGAAGGTGAAAGAGGAGAGAGAAAATGCTGGCTTAAAATGCAACATTCAGAAAACTCAGACCAGGGTATCTGGTCCCATCACTTCATGGCAAAGAGATGGGAAACAATGGAAACAGTAAAAGACTTTATTTTGGGGGGGCTCCAAAATCACAGTGAATGGTGACTGTAGATATGAAATTAAAAGATGCTTGAAAGGAAAGCTGTGACCAACTTAGCATATTCAAAAGCAGAGACATCACTTTGCTGACAAAGGTCCATACACTCAAAATATGGTTTTTCCAGTAGTCATGTATTGATGAGAGAGTTGGACTCTCAAGAAGGCTGAGCACCAAAGAACTTATTCTTTCAAACTGTGGTGCTGGAGAAGACTGTTGAGAGTCCCCGGGATAGCAAGGAGATCAAAACAGTCAATCCTAAACGATATCAATCCTGAATATTCATTGGAAGGACTGATGCTTTGGCCAAAACTTCAGCCAGCTGATGCGAACAGTTGATTCATTGGAAATTACCCAGACGCTGGGAAATACTGAGGGTAGGGGGGAAGGAATGACAGAGGATGAGCTGGTTGGATAACATCATTGACTCAATGGACATGAATTTGAGCAAACTCCAGAAGATAGTGAAGGACAGGGAAGCCTGGCATGCTGCAATCCATGGGGTGGCAAAGAGTCAAACATAATTGAGTGAACAGAAACAGTAACCTGTATTGACAGGTTTAAATTAGGAAGTGTGTATTATTCTTATCACATACTATATAGTTAGTTTATAAAGTGGTTTCCCTCCTGCCCTCTTGATTCTTGAACATGCTAACTTCACATCTGTGACTTTAGTCAGTTTTGGTACTAAATATTAAACACCAAAAATTCATTTTAGAAAATTCTGAGGATACTCCATACTGTTTTTGAAGGTGAAAGTGTTACTTCCTCAGTCCTGTTTGACTCTTTGTGACCCCATGGACTGTAGCCCACCAGGGTCCTCTGTCATGGAGTTCTCCAGGCAAGAATACTAGAGTGGTTTGCCTTTTCCTTCTCCAGGGGATCTTCCCTGCCCAGGGATCAAACCTGGGTCTCCCCCATTGCAGGCAGGTTCTTTATCATCTGAGCCACAACAGAAGGTCCTACTGTTTTTAGTAATAGCTGTCTTTTTTAACATATGACATCCCTGAGATCCTTGGGAAGGAAATGGATGAGATGAGGCCAATTTCTTCTATTATGTGTATTTGTACAAACGTGTTTGTGTATAAGTGGGAAATGAGATAGAGCCAATACACAGTGGTGACAATGAGATACTGTGAAACAATATTATACTGAGACTCTTCATCAGTTATGTTATTAATTACTAACAGATTCCTGGAAATCTACAGTGCAGGGTTCATTTCACCTCTAATTCTTTACTACTATAGATTTACTAAATCATTTATTTATTTCAGACAGATTTTCTGGAGAATTATTCTAAATTTTAGTTTATTCATTATGATATCATTTTCCTTACTGTGAGCACTAAGAAAAATCCATGATTCAACTTTGTTTATATTTGTCATTCTCTCATTGTCTTACATGAAACTTTGTCAAAATTTCCCAAACTCTGTCTCACTAAATTACTAATTACCAATATTGTAGAGTCTGGCTTGTAGTTTGAAAGTTCTATGAAACAGTCCTATGAATCTTATATATAAGCCAAAGATATGCTTGAGTAACAAAGTCAGACATGATTTAGCAATTGAATAACAACAGCAATGCTGGAGCAGTTACATATTTGAGTTACCATATTACTGGGTTTATTTATATATGACACCCTTTGTCATGAACTAATATTGTATAATTGATGTCAGAGTAGACTGCTATGTGTAACCACTGTGAGAGAACCTAACATCATCACCTCAGTCCCCCCAGGAGCACAGTGGGAGAAGTACCCCCTTGGCCTTCTGCCTGCAGTAGAGATCTGGTCACATTTCGAGTTCACGTGAAACTAAATAAAACTCCTCAGAAGTTCAGTTCAGTCACTAGGTCATGTCCAACTCTGTGACCTCATGGACTGTAGCATGCCAGCTCCTAGTGAATCTGTATTTTCCTGGAACTGTTTCTGAATTATTTTGTCTTGTGATTCTTGACTCCACTTCATTTTTAAAAATTGTTGCATTTTATTCTACCATTAACAGAGAAATTCCACATTTCTCAATATACTTTATTACAAAAAATATAAATGAGCAAAATTTTCCTGGATATCTGATATAATCCATGTACTCGCCCTTTCTTATTTCTTTCTTCTATTTTAAATTCACTATTCTTTTCTCTCTGGAGATAATGACTGAACTCCTCTATCATAGAATGTATACTTTCTGATCCTAATTTTTGGCATCAAATTTTTTTTCAAAACTCTATAATCATCATGAATCTGGACTCCAAATACTCCACAGACTCTTGTTCTTAGGAGATTTAAGCATAAAAATCTTTTCTTGGAAATAAAATATGATTTCTAAAAAAAAAAAAATTTTTTTTCAAAACTATAACAGAAAAAAGAAACAAAAAAATATGTTCAGACTTTAATATTGCAGACTACATATTATGTAGCACATTTTTCAGAATATAATTTCACCCTAATGATATCAGTCACAGTGATAAGGCCACTAAACTTTCTTGTCTCTCACAAGGTGCGTCCAAGTAATGTATGCATTCTAGTGACCTATAGCAGAATTTAAATTTACTTGTCTTCAATGTTTTGTCTCAATGACTTGCTACCCAATGGTGTTTCATCTATACTCTGAAAGATGCATCTGTTTGTTATTATTATAATATATTCTCTTTTCACAAATTAATTACTGATATGTACTGGCTATTCTCATTCCCTGATAATTTTTATGAAAATAACACAGGTTCATGGCAAAAAAAAAAAAATGCAAAAGCATAGAAAATCAAAATAAGAAATGGATTTACTAAACTCTCTATGCAGGAATTCCTTAGTTTCAAATTCACATGTTTTTAGAAGAAATTGAAATATATCTTATATAGAAAATATTATATGGTATCAGACGTATAACTTGATTTGATAATTTATATTTTGTAATATGATTGCCATTTTATTATTGATTGAACCTCTATTATGTCTAGTAATTATCATTACTTTTTGTGGTGGGTATAATTAAGATATAGTCCCTTGGAAAGTATGATGATAATATTATACTCGTGTATATTCCCTATTCTGTACTTTAGATCTCTAGGACTTATTTACTACAGGATGCAAACTTGTGCCCTTAAATATCTCTCCTATTCTCCTATCCTTTAGTCCTTAGTAATCTCTATATTACTTCTGTTTTTACAAATTTGGCATTTTTAGATTCTGGGTCCAAGTGATATCATGCACTATTTTTTTCTGTTTTTTTCAAAAAAATAAGCAAAACTAACAACATCTAACCAGATTTACCAAGAAAAAAGGATTCAAAACATGAAAATAAAATAGGAGACATTACAACTGATATGACAATCATATGTAGGCTCATAAGAGACTACTATGATGAATTACATGGTAACAAATTACACATTGGAAAAGAGTAGACAACTTCTTAGAAACACACAATCTAAACAACCAAGACTGAAACAGGAAGAAATAGAAAATCTGGACTGTCCCAATGAGTAAAGATATTGAATCATAAATCAAAAATCTCCTAGCATGCAAAACTCAGAACCAGATGCATTCACTGATAAATTCTATGAATATTTAAGGAAAATTAATGTCAGACCTTCAGAAAAATCTTCCCCAAAATAAAGGGAATGGAGGGAACCTTTTCAAACTCATTCTACAAGGCCAGAATTACCCTGATACCAAATAGGCACATTAC